ATAAGGGTAAGATATATATATATATATATATTATATATATTTTTATATATTTTATATATAATATATAAATATATATTTTTTTGTTACCAATAAATTGGCCGTAGTGTATTCACGATGAACAATGTTCATTTCATTGTAACTATAAGGTCGAAATTCTAAATACGTTATTATTTACTTCCTTCCGTTTCTTTTCTTGCTTTTTCTTCTTTTCATTTTTGAATAAAGAGAAACAAAGTAATGCGGAAACGACTAATGTTATCAAGTTATGAGTTATGAAAACTTCGTATTACTAAGGAACAGAAAAGAGAGCATTGGCGACATCGGATAAGCTGGTGAATATCCTTACACTGTAACGGAGGATCAGTGGAAAGACTGTCCCGGTAGCTGGAGTAATGGAGAAAGTGTTGGTGGTTGTGGTGGTGGTGATGGTCCATTGAGGTTGAGGCAGATGGGGGGTTGTTGTCTTACCATGTTGGAGCCAACCTGCTGTAACCATCCGGCCCCTTGCTGAGAGGATGTCGAGGAGATGGACGGACACCTCGAGCCACGTATGCTATTCATGCTCGGGCTAACCAAGTATGGCACGCTGCTACTGGTAATCGGTATACCCCCACCCTATTGAATTTAGGAGAACGTCAGTTTTTTCACCTTCGTTTTCCTTCTGTTCCCCATTTTTCTATATATCTCTTCGGTCGATCCGTTGTTTATATGAACGGAAACCCTTGACCTAACTTTTGTCGCTTCTTTTCAGTTACCTCTATTGTTTTAGTACTTTACTCATCTAATATTCGATTAACCTATAGTTTCGAAAGGTCGATCGAGGTGAAATGTGAAGGGGAGGGAAAATTTTAGTTTTAAGTTTCATTTCTCTGTTTCTACCACCTCTCCAAATTTTATCTTGATCAACCATTGATGCCTCTTTCACACAATAATCTTATAAAACAACGAATCGAACGCGTAAAAAAGTAAACAAGCATAAAAAACGTAGAAGATACGATACCAAAGGAGGTGATAAATTTATGCTCGATCCGCGTCGGTCTTGTGGACCAGTAGTCGAATGACGACGTATTAGAAATCCATCACTGGGTGTAACGCCTGGAGAACTCTCACAGGATGGTGCTACGTGGATTTTCGGTGTCATCAGAGTGTTCTCCGACAATCGCCTACTTGCAATAGTATTCGCCACTTTCAGGAAATTACTATTATCGTTGTTTGAAGATGAGAACCATCTCAAGGTAACTAATTAAAATAATAATAAAATACGATATACAGATTAGAATAAAGTCCTCATTTTACAGAAAAAAAGGAAAAATAGTAACACTATGCGTACAGAAGTTTTTTCTCGCCATGTTTTCAGCCGAGACTGTTGTTGACATTGAATCTACAAGAAATAAATAAGTTATAAATTATTTGTGACTTGCAATTCGTTGTATACTTGTTTTTTTAATAGTAACATTCTTACTACTACTATTCTTCCTAGCCATATCTTCAGCCGAAGAAGTTTTACGTTGTTCGATACGTAAGTTTGGTATATTGAAGGGTGCAACATACATATTATCCGTGCTATGTTGATGCCGTAAGCTTCGATAACGTTCTGGGCTCGAGAACGATAAATTGTCCAGAGTCAATTGATTCCTCTGATTTCTGTTCGAACCGAGAAAGAAAGACAAACAAACAAACAAACAACAAAAATGAAAGCACAGAAAATGTTAGAAAAATGAAGGAAGAAAGAATATAATAAAAAAAAAACGTAAAAAAATGCAATTTTTATTATTCGTAGTTTTATAAAATTTAATAATTAAAATTGTAGGAAAAATCTGTAACAAACGCTTTACCTTTCTATGTGTTTCAGCATATCTTGTAACACTTTGTGGAGCATCTCAAACTGTTCAAGGTTTAGTGCGAGGTTGATAGTATGAGGTAGTAAAGAAGGCATTGCTCGAGTCGCCATCCAGCTCACAGAAAGTCCATACTTCTTGTCGGTTAACATCAATCTGTAAATTTCTGTTGGAATCGAATTGTAACCCCATCCCCAGTATCGATTCATTAGCAACAACGATTCAAGTCTCAATTAGTGACGATTATATGTGTGTGTACATACACCTCCGTTCGAAAGTTTTAGGATAGTTGCTGTTTTAGATTTATATTATACATGTATCGGTATCGTGTGCATTCTTTATCACATAATCAAACGAAATAATATATCTTCGTGTTCTTTATAACAATCATCTTAAAATTTTGGTTGACTGGTCAATGTATTTACATGACGTATAGCATAAAATAATCATAATGTAATGTTACCATTATACTCACTTACAACCCGAACGATTATCTCCGGTTCTTGAAGTTTTACATTGAACAACAACGGCAAAATGCAATCGATGATTTTTTGTTTTTCTAGCCGGTTTAAAATGCAGGGAATAACGTTCATAAGTATTCGAGAGTCTACCAAATTTTTTTCAAAAGCTTGTAGTAGTTTTGGCAGTACGATATTCCGAACGGCTTCATCATCTATGTATTCAATTACGTTTGATACAGCTACGAACGCTGCAGTCTACGAATTATTGTTTTTCTTCAGCGTATAAACATTACTCTTCCATATCCCATTTAAATTCTTTTCTATTACTTTACGTATCGTTTTATTCATCATTTAATACATATCTATTAAATAACGTACCTGTACTTGAGTAGTTGAATTTTCAAATGATGTGTATAACATCGGAAGTATCTCACTCTCCACATATTCTCGAGATGTTTTTTTCAGTATTAAATGCAAGTTTTCCAATAACGTGACCGTTCTGGTACGACACGGCATAACATGCGAATGAGAAAGAGATAGAAAAATATTACTTTTTCCTTTTTACTTCTGCTATACATACCGTAACGGTGGAAATACAATTTGATCGTACTCTTCTTGTGTACTGTTTTGTACAATGTAAAGTACTGGTTGTAATACAGCCGATTGAACTTCTTGACTTTCTAACTCGGTTTCCAAATACGTCCAGATATGTTGGTACCAAAGTTTCTATAAATTTAAATGTAATATCTTTTTATCGTGTAGGTCGATATCATTTATTAGATTATATATATACACATATGAATATATGGATTACTCTTGGTATGTAAGGAAATGCTCCTTTCAAAGTAGTCGTATAGAAATGCTCTTTCTGTAATACACTTTTCATCTTATTAACATCCAGAAATTGAAGAGCGTACACAGGTGGATCTCTGGAAAATCGCAGCAGATTTTGTATAGGACAGTTGTATAAATGATCATGAATATTTCTATAAACATTACATACTTAAAATATTTCATTCTTGGCAAAACGTCGATGGGTGGTCTCATTTCTGTATCAACGTGTAAAAGTCGAGAAACAACCTCTCGAAGTGGAAGAGGAATTAATGGTAGTATCGCACGAACTTGCTCTTCAAGCTTTGGTTACAGCCGAAACAAAAAAAGAGCAAAATTTAATGATTGTTAGAATAGAAAAAATTCTGAAAGAATGTACGAAGATTTTATGAAAATTGTGCATATATAGTAATATTGTACTATAAAACGAACGCAAAGGAAAATGCACATCTTCCGTATCTTTTGTTAGGAATTTCCTCATTGTAAATCTCGTTGTTGTACGATTACTTACGTTTTCTAGTTGTTTCAAGTACTCGGAACAATTATGGTTTGCTTGAATCAATGAACGTCCTTGATTAAATATCGCGCATATCGTCATACCGAAGCTATACATATCGCTGTAGAAACCAACCAGTTTCTTTTGCTGCACTTCCGGAGCTGTAGCATAAACATGTTCCAAATACTTAGCGAAATAAGAATTATCGAAGGAAAAAGGAACAAGGTCCAAAGATTTAATAATTGAAAAACATTTTTCTATATCCTTACCTATGTAATCAAGATTTGGTTGTGTCATTTTTGGCATACGGTTAGTCCAAGGTTGTGATATCATCGGTACTTCGTTAACTTTTTCTACGAAAAGAAGGAAACCTTTCATAATTGACAAGACATAATTTCAATGAAGATTTAGAATTCATGACTCACCGATAAATTCGAGGCCTGATAATTTCCAAGTGCCTCTTTTGGTAATTATAATGCTTGCAGGACAAACGTTTCTGTGAAGAAATTTGCAGCTTTCATGAAAAAAAAGCAAAGCCTCCGCAATCTGAAAAGAAAACAAAGGACGAAATAAGAAGTAAGAAACAGGATCAAAAAGTAGAACCTGAAATCAAAGGATATGAAATAGGATTTAACCCAAACGAATTTACATATTATAAAATTAATAAGTCGTGTCTCTCACCTGCAGTAATCCATATTTGATCTCGATATCGAGTAACTCGTACTCTTTCACATAAGTAGCACGATGACTTGCGATCGAAGAAGTTTGTTTCATTACGTTACTCGATGATTGGCCAACGTTATTTGCTCGTTGTTCTTGATATGCCAAAACGTTCGCAAGGCTAGCTAGAACCGGCTCCGAAACGAATGCCAAACTATCAGCGCATTCCTCGACCTTATATGCCTATATGTATAGATATATATTCAGATATATATATTAAAAAACGACCATTCTTCGTACATGAAAAAAGACTACACGACAGAAGGTAAAAGGAGGTGGGTCGTTCATGACGATGATAACGATAATGACGACTAGAAAGGAAAATCATAAATTTTACTTGTAGTATTTTCGGATGAGACAACAGTTCCATTTGTCGTGCTCCGTTTCGTAAAATTTCGGTGACGGTTTCCTTCCGCTTTGGTTTGTGAAGCTTATCAACCGACCTTTTGTCGAAGAAGAATATAGAAACTTCCTAAAATAAAAGAAGCAAGAAAAATTTAGAAACATATCTAAGAGAAATTTAAGGTAATTAGAAGCCTAGGGATCCTATAATTTAGGATCTTACCTTTCGATCCGTTTTCGTATATCCGTCGTATATACGCCAGGCGTTTTCAGGACCTGCCGTAGCCGCTTGTTTGCCAACCTCGTACAAATTTTGAAGAGGAGTCGGAAGTAAAATGCTCGGTGTCGAGCCACTGCTTTTTGACTTTGCAAACATAACGACGCTTCCGTTAATCCTCAGTGTTCATCGAATCACCTTCAATCGTCTCGTTTCTTTAATTGCACAACTTGCTTCCCTTTCAATCGGCTCCTTTCAATTGTTTTCTCACGGATACACCTGCTACACGATTAAGCACAAACGATTTCTTAAACTGACACATTGTTGTCATAATAACGGCTCAAAATCGATAACAGAAGTAATTTAATCGGTTATTGTTGTCGTGCAAAGATCGATGTTCAATAACAAATATTCAAATGTCAAAACTTTTCTCAATCTCCCTCTTGAGTTTTATTTCCTCTTTCTCGAGAAATCATTTCATGGCTCTACTTTCTCTTCTTCTCCTTACGCAACTCCTTATCGATTTACCACCTCGTACCTCCGTAGGCAATCTTGTATACATGCTGCACAACGAATAAGTATAACTCAAAGAATAAATCGAATCGAATCGAATCGAATCGAATCGGATAGGATCGGATCGGATCGGATCGGATCGGATCGGATCGGATCGGACCGGATTGAATAGGATAGAATCGCATACCATGAGATCGGTTCATTTTAACTCGTCGTATGATTAAAACTAAATATATGTATATTCTTCCATTCATTTGAACATGCTCGAATTAGAAATAACTGTCAAAGGTAGAAACAATTTTTCATCATGAAATACAGTTTCTCCACAAGAATATTAATTCACTCGTTTTATATTTTTTCCTAACAAGGAAAAAGCACAAACGATACGTTTACGCGTCTTTCCTTGTTTTTTATAAATGTAACTGTCAACATGATACTACTACTGATCCACGAAAACCATAAGTAATTGTAATATTGATGTCGAACAATTTTGCTTGGGTTAGAATATGAAACAAATTCGAAAAATATCCACTAGGTTTAATAATCTTCCAACACAATTCTTAGTATGTTGTACTTTTATAAAAAAAAACACGAAAAAGTTCGTATCGGTCGTATAATATGATATAATATGAATAATATTATACGATGTAAGGAAACAATACATTATTTGCAATTTTTCTCAATAATATTAAAATAATGTCTATATTTATTTGTTTAGTTCCGAAAGATTTAAAATCTAGAATTTATCACCTGAAAATCACGAATAAAAATACTAAATACATGTCAATTGTAATTGTCGACGTAGCTTAAATTTTCATCAACGATATTCCAAGTAACAAGTTCAAGAATGTTTCGTACCATCTACAATACATTATCCATTCAAATTAGTATGGTCAATTAAGACTCGATTCATCTAGCACAGGTTAGCGAGGAAATTCGATCGATTCGAGTATGATCCGCGTATTGGTGGTCTAATTATTTAAAGATTTAAATAGCAGTTTTTCATTTGTTAAATAAATGTATACAAATTATTAGCCGTTATTGGATTAACATATCGTTAAGTAAGTTACACGATAATAATAGAATCGTAAATTAACTAAAGTGCGGGAAGTATGGAAAAAGTAGGAAAAGAAATAGGGACAGTTAAAATAGGAAAAAGGATAGGTTGGAAAACGAGTGGAGGGGTGAAGCGGAAAAAAAGTTTCCCGAAAACAGAGAGGAAAAAACAAGATATCTGAAATTTCGGAATGGCTTACCTGTTGCCGTCGAAAACGAGAATCTTCTACAGCGTATAGTAGCACACTATAAGCATGAAGAAACTGAAAGAAGTGTAATGCGCGATGCGCGATGGTTCGGAGCACGCGCGCGTCGTTTAGGATCGCGTGAGGAATCCAAAGAAACAGTCGAGCGCGATCGACGCGTGATTAACACTTCTCCTAGTGGTCAAATTGTCTTTTTATGTCCTATTACTTTATGCATATCACCAGCAATATTTGCAATTTCTTTTACCATTCAAATGACTATTCTTCTTTTCACTATTTATTTTATATTTTTATTACTCTGTTTTTTGTTTTCTTCGTTGTAGAGGTTGTTAACTCTTACTCGCTGCTGTCAATGTATTCTTCAACAATGTTATTGTTGCTATTGTTGCTGTTGCTATCCTTGTATACGTTTATATCGCTATGCCTATCTTTGCCCATCTCCCTTGTTCTGCCCCTTCCCTACCTCAATTCCAGCCTCATTCCATGTCCTTGTACGTATTTCTGTTTCTGTTCTGATTCCAATATTTCTTCTCCTTTTTGTCTTCGCCTTCGTGATAAATTGTTAATAGTAATAATGGTGTAACGTGACGTTTTTGTCAAGACTGTTAACAACGTAAATATCGTCTTCGTTTTCAACCTCTTTCTTGTTCTCAATGACACCGTTGTGTGAATTAACGTCGACATTCGATGGGACAGCGAGGAAGTCGCAAGGAAATAGCAAAAAGACGCATGCGCGCCCTCCGATCCCAGCTATGGCTTTGGCTACGACCTCGGCTCCAGCTTGGTTCCGGCTCTGGCCAGGGTATAGGCTTTTACCTAGAAATTATAGGTCTCGGCTGTAGGTCATGGGACAGTAGACCGAAGATCTCAGTTAGAAGCTGTCATATCTTGATCCGAAGGTCGGGAAAATTGACTAGACAGTAGGAATTACCCTATTCTAGTTTATGAGTTACGAATTATAAATTATAAATTATAATTTAAATATGTAGAACAGAAAAACAGAAGGAGGAAGCAACAAAGTTTAAAGAAATGGATCAGAAAGGAGAGACGAGAGTGAAAATAAGTCCAAGTAGTATTGTATAAACATACACACGCGTCTATGTATGTATATTATATATTATACATTATACGTTATATGTATACATAAAATGTATAATATATTGTATACCATAAAGTTCCACATATACATAGTTGTGTACTTAAAAATATACGTTATATGTATGTACTTATTTTTAAAGGTCTTTTTTCATCAATTGTACAACTGTAAATCTATATTCCATTACCAATCAAACATTTTTGAATATTTTTATCAAAAAAAAAAAAAGAAGAACAATATCATTTGTCAATTATCAAAATATTTCTTCTTTTCATCTATGCAAAAAAATATTATTAGTTAAAATATCGAATTGAAATTGCCGCGTTTACCAACTGAGCATTTAAGACTCCATCGATATAGTACAAGTAATATTAAACGAGCAGACGAACATTAATCAAGGATTAACTATGCTTTAAGCATATTTCAATGCGTATAAAAGATAAACTGTATGCAATAAAATGTTCAACAACACATTTTTAACTAATGTTCATCAACATCCTTCCTTAACCATTTTTCAAACACAAATGTCGTTTTCTGTACCTGTCGATCTGTATGTTATGACATTTATGACATTGATGATGTTTCTATTTAATTTATGATATATTTACAAATTAAGTATTTGCTTAAATTTTTATACAACAATCTTGAAAACATTAGATTTTCCGACTTCTTTCATTTACCAGTGATATTATTTTACAATACGTATTTATCTTATCGTATACATTGATTGTCCATAGATTCTAAATATCTTTATAAAGGACCAAAATTATTAAAATATTTCAAAGCTTGCTTTATTTCTTTTTTTTATCTTCTATCTTGAAATTCGATGAACAATTTACTTACAATTTTCATCTTTTTTTATTAAAGATATTTTAAAATCTCGTTAATACATTTAACATATAACTGTTAATTTTTTACAATTTTTTTATTTGTTCTAAGTTACGTTCCAAGTTACCATGTTAAGAACGGAATTTCAATATTTAAAAATAATATTTAGCTGCATTTTAAGCGCATTTTTTCCCCCTTTCTCTCTTGTATTCTTTCTTGCTTTCTTTCATTTATCTACCTAATGAATTTCTAATTGAAACATTATCGTTACAGTCGCTATTTCCGTTTATTATTTTTCTAATAACAAGATTTCGTACACATTCTAACTTACAATTAGATATCTCGATCCATTTTCCTCTCCCCTCTTCGCGCGCAAGTTCTCACGCGCTCTCTTCGTTCCTGTCATCGTCTGTTTCAACTGTCATAGTCACTGCACTAACGCCATCAACCCTTGGACATTTTCCTTGTTTGCTTTTACACGGTAAATAAGATTCGTTTGCTCAGTGCATGGGTGGCATTAATTCGCGGGATATGGATATGGATATCGAATACAATCCAGGACTTGCTGCTGTTTTGCAGTATATGATACGCAGGTTTGTTGTTTCATATGCAAAAGATTTAATATTGTGTATCTTTCCTATGAACATGTGTACACGTATCTCCTTTGATAGAAAGAGCTGAAATGTACGTTGAAGTTGAAAAGAAAGAAGGAGGTGAAAGAATGAGAGAGAAAAAGAACAAACGAATAAGTGAGAATAGAAGGAATTCTAACCTCTTCGTATAATTTTTTGTTATTATGTATTATAGTATTTATGCAATAATTAGATTTCTTTAAGTAAACATTCGTCTCTTTTTTAAGGAAGTCACTCCCTTTCAGTTTATCCTTTTTGATTTATTAAAATACTAAGATATTCAAATTCAAATCTAATTTTTCTCTTTCAATAACCCAATCTTATTTTTCTTACTTTCCTTTGACAATTGCATCGTTGTATCGTTGTAGAAATCAAAATTAATATTCTCTATTCTAATATTGCAGCGGTCGCCTTATACTATCCTCGGATCATGATGACTCGGACGAAGAATATGCTGCTAATTCACAACCTCCGAAAATTACGTCTGTGCCAAATATGTCCAGACTAAATGTTCGTTATTTATAAACATACACAAAAAATACATTATTTATATATATTGTTATTTCCTCTTTTTTCTTTCTTTTTTTCTTTTTCTTTTTTTATAGGAGAATGATATAAGTCATGTTACAAAACAGGCATGTGGATTAATAGATAACAGGTATAAACACAATCTTTCTGTAACATCGATGATTCAAAGAAGAGCTTTAGGTCCCAACTTTAGTACAGGAGAAAGGTGCAGAATTAGTAGCAATTATTTACCAAATAGGAGTTTTCGACTTACTAGATATGATACCAAAGCGTTCTGTGGTTCTTATTCCAAAGATGGGAGATTTTTCTTAACAGCCACTCAAGGCAAGTAGTAAAATTGTTTGCGTATAAAGTATAACTACTTATTAGAAATTTATTTCGTTTGATTTATTTCAATGTTATACATTTTGACAGACAAATATTTACGTCTTTATCAAACACACGGTGCGAAGTTTACATTATTCAACGTGATCCCCGCATTAGACGTGGGGTGGAGCATCTTGGACACAGCATTTAGCCCTGATCATAATTATATTGTTTATTCCAGTTGGTCTGAATGTTGTAAGTGTATAGTATACCATTGGAAATGATACAGATTAATTATGAATTTTTTTCCTTTTCTCTTTCTCTTTCAGTATATCTATGTCCCATTCGTGGAGATTCAAATTCGCAAGTTTCATTATCACTCTGTCCAGAGCATAGAAGATTTTGCGTATTTTCCCTTGTATTTTCCAGTGATGGTAGAGAAATTTTATGCGGAGCAAATGATGGTTTCCTTTATGTCTATGATAGAGAATGTCACAGACGTGCTTCTAAAGTATGTACACATCATTTTCATATTTAGTGCCCACTGACTTATTACCTATTAATATTTTGTAGATTGATGGCCATAATAATGATGTAAATACAGTTGCCTTTGCGGATAATACTTCTCAAATTCTGTACAGTGCTGGTGATGATGGCCTTTGTAAGGTGATTATACAGTTATGAAATGAAATGACATGTGCACATGCACATGCGTATCAATTTATTCCTTCTTGATTTATGAGTTGCTTAGGTTTGGGATAGAAGAACTTGGAATGAAAGTGACCCACATCCTGTTGGAGTATTAGCTGGCCATATGGATGGTATTACGTATATCGATCCACGCGGTGATGGTCGGTATTTAATTACCAATAGTAAAGATCAAACGATTAAATTATGGGATGTGCGTGCATTTTCTGATCAGAAAGGTGAACAAAATACACGTAAAGCTGTTGCAAATCAAAACTGGGATTACCGATGGCAACGAGTACCAAAGCGCCGTTAGTAACGATCAAATCAATAACATTTTAATATAAAGTATCCTATTAAACATATCGGTCATGCATAGAAATTTATCTTTCTATTACAGTGCACAAACCGAAAAATATGTTGGAAGGTGATACTAGTATTATGACTTATCGTGGTCACTCTGTTCTTCAAACTTTAATACGTTGTCATTTTTCACCTTCGTCTAATACCGGCCAAAGATATATCTATACTGGATGTGCCGCAGGACGAGTAATAAGTAAGTTTTCATATTTTTCCTTAGTATGATTTAAATATAACATTGTATGTAATGCAACTTATATAGTATTATTTTTTTCAAATGAATAATATTTTTCCGATTCGCGTTAAATTTAAAAGACAACACATAATTTTTATTCGATTTCAGTATATGACGTGTTAACCGGTAGGATAGTTAGTAGTTTAGTAGGACACCAGGGTTGTGTACGTGACGTTAGTTGGCATCCATTTCATCAGGAAATTGTTTCTACATCCGTAAGTATTATGTTACAATTTATTATTGAAAATATTTAAATGGATTCACAATGAGAAGAAAATAATGTGTTATAGTGGGATGGTGAAATTGTTCGTTGGCTGTACTCTGAAAAGACTACAATTTCGACTTCCGACTCGGAAGACGAAAGCGATGAGGACTCAACACCGCCTGCTGTAAGAATACGTCAAATAATAGTTGCTCACAGTGCCAAGCAAGCAGCAGAAGCTCGCCTCGCAGCACTCGAGCCTCCTAGATTTTAAATAAGAAACGGAATGTTCCGAGAAATTGATGCTTTTTGTTCCTACGAGGGAAAAAGTTAATGCTTAGTGTTTGCAGAAGGACAATTTTGTATCGGTGGCTGTTATTCATCGAAATTCAAGAGACTAACTTTTTTCTACAAGACTGAGTTTTCATTGAATACACACACCTCTACAGAATCAGTGTTGCCATTCTGGTTTATACATCAAAACTGAATGCATATTTATAAGAATAATGTCGCAGGTATAAGAACATAATCTATATAACCCATTCTCTTGAAACCAAATTTGTTGTTATCTGATATTTACCGATTTTTTGCATATTAAATACAATTGGAGGGGTAGTGCGTTATTATATTTTGTATTGCGAAGTGGGTAACACATCAGAAGGGTATACACATATGCGTGCGCTTGTGTATGTGTGTTTTATTTTTAGCAATACGAAACAAAGTTTTTTCTTCATCTATCTATTCTTCCTCTTTTTGCTGTCATTATTGGTTTTTCCACCATCTTCTTGCTACATCTCCTTTACGTTTCCTTCTTTAGGTTGCATCTCCATTTCTCTTCCCATGTTATCTGTTTATCTAGCTATCTCTTTGGGTCTCATTGTTCTACTTTAGAAACTCGAAGGGAAGAATATTTTCGATTAAGCCCTGAAAAAAATATTATTATTTACGTATAATTCCACGTATGAATATAAATGTGTATACTTTTGCGAATATTAAGAGGATATGAACGATAGCTGAGAATGAAGAATATAGTGTAAGAAAACGTAAGAGAGCATTACGGTTTTTACAACGCTCATTTTCATATTGACCAAACGCGAAGATGATGTTATTCTGTACATTTTTCAATGTACATATATTATTAGGTATGTTTAAATGTTGCTTACAAATTTCCAAAAATGTACATAAATACATAAAAGCATTGCATACACACGTGCGCGCACATACATTCACGAATACATAACGGGTACACGTATGTATACGCGCGCGCACAGAAAGAGAGAGAGAGAGAGAGAGAGAGAGAGAGAGAGAGAGAGAGAGAAATACCTAATGTTATATTAAACATGTATACTAATAAATTACTAGAAAATAATATTAAAGTTTTAATTTTCGGTAATCACATTTACAGCGATCATCCAGTCCTATACAGAATCATCGAGAAAATTTGATTTCGTATGATTTTCTTACAAAAGAAACAATAAATTGGAAAATTAAAAAGGATGAAGGTAAGGATGCTCATTTGAAAAGAAGAGTAAATATTTGTTATTTCATTGCTGATATTGTACAAATTTTATTTATAGATTTACACGATTTGATCGCATAGACTTAAATTATGTAAAAAGTATCGTATTGAATTTGACAATGATATTTGACGAATATCGTGAATTTTAAGAAGGAAATATTATTTAACAAGTTTAATGAAACAATAAAGCAGTAGCATCGTATTGTATTTGAAGTATTTGAATCGAATAAGGTTTTTCCACCTTATTATCTGATTATTCTGACTATTCTTTCCATTTTATTTTATTTTTATATAATGTTCACAATGTTGCACCGCAAGCTTTAAAAGAAACCGTAAAAGAGATTCGAGCTCTGATTCTCGACCAGTTATAGCAGCCAAATGAGCGTATTTGGAAGCCACAGTAATGGCTGATGATCGCAAGAGTTGCAATGCGTATGAAATTTTGTCGTATTTCTGTTTCAGTACATAATTATATTTCATTATGCTTTATAATTAGATCTTGCATTGCAGATATACATATCTGTAATCTCCTGTTATGCTCGTCCTTTTTCCTTCCATTCCTCTGTATCATCGTACGAAAGAGACTGAGAATGTTTCGATTAGAAAATCTTCTTTAAAACATTTTCATCCGTTTTTTTTTTTTTTTTATGTGGATACGACAATAAAGGAGAAATGTACATATAAGTAGAATTTGCAATATATAAAGTACGAAGTACCAGACGGTCTAAACAGGTTTATACCATTAGTGTCGATGGTGTACCAACAGACCGAGTAGACGCAAGTACTCGATCGCATTTCCTTTAACGGAACTGAATAAAGGTAGAAATATAATTAGCAAAAACGAATTTGTATCTACAACTGATAAAGTAGATTTATTATCAATTTAGTTCCAAATTCGAAAGTAAGCTAATATATCGATAAAAGTGTGCGTATGATATAGCGTATGCGATATCTAATACGCGTTGTTTCTCGAATGTAATAGCACGTAAAACTAACAATGTAGCGAAAATATAACATTTCTTTGTAACAACGAATAAATTGAATTGAAATCGTTCTTGAGCAGCGCAGCATGATATGGATCGTACGTACTTATCAAAACTACACGATTTATCTGTCAGTAATGAAAGCGGCACTTCTTGTCTTCGCTCGTGACGTTCTAGATATTAATAGTAAAACTGCTGGTAAGAGGAAGCTTAATTTATTACCGCATCTTTCGATCGTTGTACGAAATCTTTATTATTCACAGATTATTTATCGAGTATAATATTGTTCGAAGCGCGCCGTATAGATGTAAATTTGGAATCATCGATGATACATTAACTTGTATGAAATGAAAAATGAATTTAGTTTTCTCCTATTGCAACATACCATTGTCACGCTATAAAGACTTTTTTATATTCTAAGACTTTCTTCGTATATGTATTACGACGTAGAAAGATCGGATCGGATCAGATCGGAAAATATGAGTCTGTGTGACAAAATCACAATAACGGTGGCGATGCCGGTGGCACGATAGCACAATACATTCTTTAAACGTTGAGGAATTCCGTCCCCCCTGGAGGTAACTTGACTATCCATACCGCACAACTCTGCTAATCGATGTAAGTCGATAAAAGGTAGATTAGACTTACAGTCTTCGCAGCGAAGAGAAGCCGATCGTGAACCGTCAGTCACGCGCGACGATCATCGCCGTTGGAACGACGTTTGGAGTCAGTTGTCCATATCCATTTTCGGTAATTTTTACATGTCCAGCGTGTTAGAATATCAAAGCGTGCTGCCGGTACTCTTTGAGGGTAAGTTTCAGAGAAAAATTGAGGAAAAAACTGGGGTAATCATCGTATACGTACATATATCGGTAAAACGCGAATTTATGCTGTATAATAATAGTTGTTTTCGAGTTTTTCCCACATTTTTATCACCTTGTTATTATGTTGAAAATTGATATTCTTGTCAGAAATCGATTATTGTTTTTACGATTCGTTGCGATTACTACTCGAACCTGCTTCGTTCGTTCAACGTTTTTCGTTCACCCTATTTTATATTGTACAATGCAACGCTTTATCACCCGTCTTGCCTCGTTCTTTTGTTCATTGCTCGAATAATTTCCCGTTGAGCGGGACGTGGAAATTTGGAAAAGAGTGTTTTTAAAGGAAGAAATTTCGTTGGCACACTAACAAGGTTGATGTAATACGATTGTAGATATTGCGATTTGCGGAGCAAAATGAACTAGATATGTCCGATATATCGCGTAATACTTTGTACATATCGGATAATTAAACAAGGAAACATCGTCAATATTCGGCAACACACGGATATGAACAAACGCGTTAGAGAACACATAGGCATGCTAGTGCAGGAAGAAAAATACAAGATATTGCGGGTTGAAGAGAATTAAAGAAAGGCGAGATTTAACGATGCGGATTAAAAAACACGTAAACATAAAAGCGAGACAAAATCAGGATAACGATCGGATAACGAGATAACGATCTTAACCTGTGAATACGTTAACGAAATAACATAGAAATTTTAATCGTAATATTAATTATTTGCCTAGAAACGACAACGTCCTATCGAAAGATGACTACTAATAAGACACAGGACATCGGAAGAAGGCACGCAATTCCTGTCATTTACACCAGAGGAACTCATTACGACGTCGGCTTCGATATTGTAAGAATTCAATTGTTTGTAACATATTCATTTCTTTTATATTGTCGTTATATTATTATCGTTGCATCACGTATGTATGTACATTCCATACTTTTTATACAATTTTCGTATTGCGGGCTTCGTATTTTTGTGGAAATATAACAACGACATAAGAGAGACAGAAAAAAAAAGAAAAAACTCATCAAGAAACGGAATGATCGATTACATAAGTCGGTTAAACCAAGATCATTATAAGATGATTGTAGCTACGTTTGATTATGTTTGAAAAAGAAGGTGGAATACCCTGAGTGAATTTTATTAACTTTGGATTCACCTGGAAAATAATTATTAAGAACTAGAAATTCCTGCTTCTTCTAATTCTTCCATGAATTGATCTGCGATCGATATACCGTGTATATATTATAAGTAGATACGTATACATATACGTATCATCATCATCGCCATTGTCATTGCCATCATCATCATCATCGCGTACTTAGCCGTGTTAAGTTTTCTACGAGTTTTATGTCCGAGTTAACCCAAATATTTGTAATTGGTCAAGTTTTCATCGGATCGAATGGCATAGTGATGTGAACTAACATAATTAATCTTCGATCATCTAAACTCATTATCAGTTAGAAAACTTGTTTAACGACATAAATTTCCTCCCTTTGTTCTATGTGTGAATGTTTTGCATCATCTTTGTTCGATTTTATACGACATGATATGTTCTACTATATATATTTTGCCTTTGTACGTGCATCCAAACGATAGATCGTAAATTGTAGGCTTAAATCGTTCTCACACCTGAGTATTTCTGAGAGATTCAATATGTTATATAATGATAGTTACATAATATTATGCAACTTCGAGCGTTTGCTGTTTGAAAAGATACCATCGTATATGTATGTGCAGATATTATAATAATGCACTCGCGACCTGAATTGTTCGTGAAATGCGATATTTTCAAGCTCGAGCTTTTTAACGAACCTCGTAGCACTATCTTCGCGTTTCGATGGAATCGCCATTTCAATGTATGTAGGTAAAACGAGATTACATAATAAGAAGGGTGAAAAAGGAGAATAAAACGAAATTTCAACAATTTTCCAATTAGGAAAAATCGATCGATCCGTGACGAAGGAGATTCGATTTCGTTTAATCTCAAAACCAGTAGTATCGTGCTTCTCTGATAATGTCTTTTCTTATTCAGGGTCGCACATTCTCTGGTCTGATTCAAGAGTTTGTCAGTATATATCAACCGCTTAATGAAACATATTTACCGCTATACGAGACAGAAGCGGGTAGAAAAATTTACGACGAAACCCTTGCCTGCGTAGAAGAGCAATTTCCCGGATATTTGAAAGAAATTCAAGGAACCGCTGATGGTGCCAACATTCCTTTTTATAAAGTACGTACAAATTTCGAAAAGCATAGCTTCTCGAATTTGCTTCGCGTACTCAAATATATGCGCGCGCAATTTCTTCCTTGCGTGCTTAAGTACGTTCCCTTGTGTGATAAACGAAATCAACACTCGATACGCGTTTCTTTTTCCTACAACAATTGCTTCCAGCATAAAAGGAATAAACTTATAAAACTCGACTGAATGATTTCCTTCTTTGCAGTTATTTCTGATGCATTTAGACGATATCGTACCAAATGTAGCAAATAGAGGACTAAAGGGAAATGCGTTACCCGTTGGATGTTCGACCATCATGTGCAATCAACCAGGGCAAGTAAGTGACCAAGCGTAGGAGAAAAATTGTTTACACAGCATCATGTACGATTTTACATAGTTTGTAATTTTTAATTTTTTAAAACAGTCTCTAATATTTATAATGTAATACTTCCATCTGCCTTTTTTAATATCACTTTTCTTTATCGTATGGATATTTTGAAATAGGAAATTTTAGGACACAACGAGGATGCCCTCAGCGAAACTTTAAATCATTGGTACTTGGTTTCTGCACATGTACTCGAACCAGGATACAAGGAAGAGAATTTTACATCTTTAAGTTATGCCGGATTTTTACCCGGATATACGATGGGTTACAATCATCATGGTCTCGTTTATACTATCAATACGCTTAGCGCCGCAAACTTGAGATCTGGTAAAACGCGTAAGTATGTTTTCCCATATTTTTTTCATTTTTTATCTATGTACATATATTTCAAATATATTTCGTTAGAAAAAAGATCTTTTCGATCGTTAACTTTATTCGTTGTACTAGAATGTCATTTTCTTCTTCGTTTTTTCTTTATACGCTTCCTTTCACCCTCCCCCACTCTTATTCCTTTTTCTTTCTTTATTATTATTTCATTTACAATTGGTATCAACCAGTTTCATTGGTACAATTGAAATTATCTCGTACAGCTAGATACTTCCTTACTCGAGCGTTATTAGCTGCAGAGAATTACGTACAAGCTCAACAGATTCTAAGAAATAAAGGTTTCGGTGCGGCAGAAGGATTTTCTGTGAATATGACTTTTCTAACACAAGAAGGGGATAGAATGTTTCATAATGCCGAGGTCGGTCCTTGTGAGATCAGTGACACGCAATCACAATTGAGCATTTTGACTGTTAGTCCTGGAGAAAATACGTACCATTGTAATAAGTAAGTTTATTTTTTCATTCTTCTTAATCACATACATAGACGTTACCGGTATTTTCGACTGTTCGTCTTCCAGATATCTACGACTGAAAATATCAGAAGTTGAAGGACTTATCATAAATAGCAGCGTAAAAAGAATGGCTACCATTTCTAACTACCCCCCCGCTAAAACCCGTCAAGATGTTTTAGATATTTTAAGCGATCAAACGGACGACGAATACAGAGTCTACCAAGAAAATAATAAGGATGATCGTGTAAAAACTATAGCGACTGGTATGTTACACAACTTATTCCTGTTTTTTTCTTTCATATCATTTGATTATTATAATCGTAACAAAGTATCTATCAATATCATACAAATAATCGTACAAATATAGGTATCTTTGACTGTATTGAAAAAACCTGGTCTATCTATACGAACAAGCCGAACACTACAGAGCCGGTCTTGGTCATACCATTACGATTCCATGACGAATCAGCAACTTCTGCTACGTAAATTTACCAACAACCAAAGTAACATTTCTTCGTGTTCAACTTCACCTATTTTTCTATCAGTTTTTACATCACGAAATCTGTAATTTCTTCCATTTATCTTTTTTTTTCCCTCATTTACATTGCACTTCTACCAATTATTCTAATCGATGACATCGAAACTTCTCTACAAATCATAATATTTTCCTTCTACTATCAAATCTTACCATCTTCCATGTTCTCCTATCATATTTTTATACACCTCGATCAATTGTTTTCATCTATTAAATACGATCAAAATAGAAATCAGGACAAACCCAGATATTACAAGAAAAAGAAAAAAGAAAAAAAAAATGAAAAAGAAAAAGAGAAGAGAGAAAAGAAATTAGATCGAGATCGAGGTTTTACAAAAATAATAAGATATTTTTACCTTTCTTCTAAATATACATACATATCTAAAAAACAGTTGCGATTTATTACACTCAACTTTAAAAATACCAAATCCAAGATAATTTAGCATCACATGATTAAACTTTGCAAATAAATGGAATATATAAAAGTAAAATATATCATTTGCAATAATATAAAGATACATCAACTTTTTTGTTTCCGTTAGAAACGAAAAATGCTCGAGTAATGCATTTCAACGACAATATGTAGGTATCACAACTTTTGGCCGTTTTTTCGATTCCATTTCCGAAAAGAATTCCTTTATATCTTCTTCTCGCACTACTTTCTTGTTTTCAGCAAACTTTTGCAAATACTGTTTTAATCGTTCCTTCATGTTATTGTATTCTGCAAGTGTATGTATCCGATTAAGTGAAATAAACGAATATGACTAACCAATTTAAACAAATGTTGAATCAACGTATTACCTTCGATGGCTGTCAATTGTTCCACGTGACCTAAAGAAGCAAGCGCTTTCATACCCTTTTCATATTGTGATTCTCGACTATTGATTTTACCAGCTTCCTCATAAGCGTGTACACTGTCCGTTGGATCAAGAAGAAACAAAATATGTTTCTCTCGATAAAGCTGCAATCGCAAAATTTTTTAAAGTTTACAAAAATCCAAGATAAGTAATTTATCAAAGTGATAAGAAATTATACCTCTTTACATGCTTCGCAAGTACATAGCGCAGCTCTCCATCCTTCTATCCAAAAACAGCTTCCTTGTGATAATATTCTTCTTGTAGAATTATTTTTTGGCATTGTACATCCTTTTCCTTGATTTTCCATATTGGTCGATTCATCTTCTTTATCCTCGAAAGAAACTTCCGTTGCCGTAAAAGCTGCAATCGTGATATGTGATGCTATTAAATACATTTTCGAAATAACGATGCGCTACGAAAATAACAAACAACAATTATAACAAGAACAATAACGACGATATTGATAACGATAATTAATGATCGAAAAAGTTATCGTTTTAAAAACAATTCTAAGTTACCTGTGTATTTATTAGCATAATTCCAAAGGAAATCATTAATTTTCATACAACCAGCACAAATCATTTCATCGTATGCAGCATCCACTGGTATTTCTTTTTCACATTCTAAATGCTAGCAATAGTAATTGCAATTAGTCTCAAAATATTTCAATTTTTATGCAGGCTTGTTACCTTCGAATGATACCAGTCTTCACAAATTATACATTGTAACATTTCATCGTTAATCGTATCATCTGGATCTGGATATGGTCTCTCACATGTGCAATAAACGCCATCAAAGTTATGATTATATTGATTTTCGGAATTTACAGAATCCTTTGACTATAAACAAAATATAAAATAAAAAAAAAGAATAGACATAAAGGTAGAAAGTATAATAGCGAACCTACAAGCTCCAAGTTACATTTTTTTCCTCCAAACTTCGAATTACCACAGTCACATCTGAAATGCCTTTTAGTATACAGTTCAATAAGTTCATGACCTTCGTGACAATGAAAACTACAAGCTAGGCAAACTGCTGCTCGCACTGATTTCTGACAACAAGTTTTGCATGCGTAAAGAGCTTGCCGTGTATATCCCTGAAAAAAATCCAATGATTTACTTATAGTTTACTTTCATACGTGTTAAATTAAAGCTCATGTTGCAAAACCTTGCTGTATGTGCAATTTTTGTCATCAGACGCGCCCAACACTGCATAGGCGTCTTCTTCCAATTGATTTTCTTCCCGTAGTACATCTAACATTGTAACCGAATTTTCTTCTTCGATAATTTCCTCGACATTCTCAGACATTTTGTTTAATTTATGATAATAATAATAATAATAATCCGAATTAATGACAATCTTTTTAATCACGTATTAGAAATCTGGAATCAAAGTTATCACGCTAAACTTTCATTCCCAATATTTTTCTTTTCACAAATCAAATCTTCGTCAAGTTAAAACGATCGATAATGTTTTATTTAAATTTGCAAAACGCGAAAAATTTTAAAAGACAACGTTCCCACCAAAGTAATATCGAACCACTTCTTATAACGTTTTAGGTTGTTTCGCGCGTCTTCGTATGCGGAATTGTTACTAGTCAATCATTATCGCGACAATAGCGCTCTTACCTTTTACGGATCGTACGTTTTGTCCATATAGTCTTAATTATTGACGTTACTTATAAAATATATATTTCTTCGTATTATCTATTTTCATTGATCACTGATACAAAATTCATACGTCGAGTATCAAACCGTTTCAATATTTCAATTTGGAGTAAGTTTAAAAATTCATATCATCTAAATACTGAAATTTCAATTAATCGATCTGTTTTATTATACATTCAAGTGAACAGTTAACATACATGTTAATTTTATATGCAATGCTCTTTATGTATGTATTATCATCTATCATAGATTAAAATAGATAAACATGCACCATCTGTAATGGTATTGATAAGTATCGAGAGATGGCATGCATGTTCAGTAGCTTTGCTTTTCGCGCCTTAATTATGCCTAACCTGACTTAAATATACAAAGCTTTCCAACTATTTTTGAGCAAAAGGCAAAACTTTCAACGAATCTGAGAGCTGTTCGAGCTTTTCCCACATTACTTTGCGAATTCTTTGAAATCACGAGTAATGGAGGAAGTAACCAAATGCAGATATATCGATTGTGTCGACACCCGGGAAAAGGAGCAAATACTTCACGAACTTCCCGTTTGCGATACCGGTCTCTGTGTGAGGTGGTTGATCAACAGTGGTCACGTGGATCTAATTGGAAGTGATCTGGATGCTTTACGGTCTATGAAATTTTTTGTTTGTAATAACCATTTCACGGAGGATTGCTACCTGAGTAAAGGCACTTTAAAGGAAAATGCAGTTCCTTCTCCACATTGGAGTACTATATCGAGAACATTGAGAAATTTGAAAACACGACGGGTAAGTATTTCTTATATATTGTATTCATTTCTGGTTCTCTTATTCTTAAGGTTTTCATTAATAAGCACAAATTTAAGTGCTCTTATATGCAAATAAGAAATTAAATTATGCCTTATCTATTAATATAATTGCAATACGTATAAATAATTCAATTAGAGTAGCATTATGTAGTATTATGTAGCATTATGTAGTATTATATACTATTATGTAGCATTATGTAGCATTATGTAGCATGAAATTTTTTCTATTTCGAATTTTAGAAAGTGCAATTAAACGGTCAAGAAAGTTCTATGGAGGAAGTAGCAACAGATCAACTTAAAGAAAAAAATGCTCCTTCTGAATTTGAAGTGGATCAATGGTGTAGAACGTGTGCGAGCAAGAAACAGAACCTTGTAAGTATGACAACCAAGGGGAAAGGCACGGATATGAGCCTTCTATCAAAATTGAAACTTTTGATAGAAATTGACGACGAAGATGCTTTACCAACAAAGATGTGTGACGAATGTGTCGACAAGCTGGAACAGTCTTTTAAGTTTTTCCAACAGATTTATGTAGCCGATAATACACTACGTCATGTATTTCCAAATACTCGATCAAGTAATACACCCAGGAAACCTCTTTATTCAATCGGTGAACACATGAGAAACGAACAGAAGGAAAAACAGAAAGAGAAAGAAAAAGAGGAGGAACAACAACAGCAGGTTCAGGATCGTGCGCCAAAAATTACCCGTGGTATTTTTAGACGTGGTCGCGGTAGACCTCGCACTAGAGGATATGCTGCTAGAGCAAGAGCAAGGCAAAGATCTGCCCAAATAGCAATCTCAATTTCAAATTCCAACGTAAACGATAATACGACATATGAAACCAGAGTGAACGAAGCGACTACATTAAAAAACGAATCACAGAGTGTCATAAGCAAAGACGAGGAAAGACACGGTGATACAGTATTTTCATTGCTCACTGATACATGTCATAGCGATGAAGAATTAGATTGGTCTGATGTATTAAAAGTAATGAACGATCACAGATATCAAACTGTTCCCAAACAAGAAATAGAAACGAAATTGGAGGAAAAGACAGAAAAGAAAATAGTGGAACAAGTAATTGAACCGGAAATGATGTTACAAGCGGAGACAGTATCAGAAACGTCGGGAATGGAAATGAAAACTGAAATGGGAAGCGAAGTTAAAGTAGAAATAGAAACGCAGTCTGATGCAACGAAGTCGATAGCAGAGCACGAAATTCAACGAATACATTGTGAATTTTGCAACGAATCATTTAAACTTAGACGTCAGTTACAAACACATTTATTGTCCAATCATTCTCAATTATCCGGATATATGTGTATAGATTGTCTAACTTGTTACGAAAATGAATCGTTACTTTCGAAGCATCGTAGTTTACGCCACGGAAATCGAATATATCGCTGTGAACATTGTCACGAAGAATTTCTCGAGAAAAGAGTACTAAGGGAACATATAAACAAATGTGAAATGCACGATCGAACGAATTATTCCTGCGATTCATGTGGATTGACATTTGCTTCTAAACAAGAATTAATTGGGCACATGGAAAATCATCCAGAAAATTCGGTCGTATCGTTTCACAAGGATCATGAAAATTCGCAAAAAGCCGAGAACGAATTAGTATCATCCTCAAAGACTACGATAGAATTTGAAGCAGAATCTGAGTACTCTTCAATTATATCTTCGAATATAGTTGGAATTTCAGAATCGAATAATTCGGATGAGAAGACTAAAAGCGTAATTAATTCGAGTAATACGTGCAAAGTTAATGCGACTGAGGAAACAGAAGAAGGAGCAACCATCGGTGAAGAATCAGTACCGACTTGTCCGGATTGTAACGAACAAATGCAAGATACAGTGGAACTCAGTATTCATCGAATGCGTCGTCATTCAATGAATAGGAAGGATGCGACGTGTCTTCTCTGTGACAACAAGACCTTTTCTTCACTGGACGAATACGAACAACACGTACTGGATCATTGCAAACGATTAAGAATATCACCATGATAGAATGAATTTACTTTACTTATTACATAATAATCGTGTAACGATAGAGGTGATTTATCATTTCTATTCATTGGATTTATCGGTCAAGGAGACATCAGGCTTCGGTGATATGAGGGAAAATGAAAGGGTACGAAAATTAATCAGTCTATTAAAATATTACGCATTGTGCGCGTTTGTGTTATATCGAATTTTCAACTCAACTTTCTATTATATGAAATAGGGAATATATTTTGATCTGACTAATGTAACAAGACGTTTGTTAACGTTTGTTAAGATGATCGAGCAACTAGATCACCTTTTTTCATTTATCTATCTATATTGAGTAAATAACGTAAAAAAAGTACAAATGTCCGAGAATAGAAAGCATCAATAACACAGCATGTCATATATACGATAACGACGTGTGACTCGTATAAAAAAGGAGCGCATCGGTAGAAATACATTTGTTCGCGGGTGAGAGCGTTTGCGATGTATATTACGTTCATAACATAAAAATATGTTGCTTTCATTTAATGCGTAGAAAGGTGTACTACGAAGGTTCGGTTTAACATACGCGTATATATGTAAATAACAGAACATGTGCGAGTGCGATAGTTTACGGGCGTCCGTATGCGAATGGATGTAACGGATCGCAATTGTTGTTTATTATTTACAATCGGTCGAGTTTGGCCGGTAGCTTTTAGAGTTATTATTAATCAATAAATATGTCTTTTGCGAACGATACTGATTCAAGAATAAAAACTACTATTCCGATCCTGGTGAGATTTTGAGCGGTGAGCACGACGGTCGATAAATGCAAGCATTCGGGAAGAAGGGATTGTTGCACCAATCGATATCTGAAACAAAAATCGCAGTGATTTAATCTTTGAAACAATGGAAATTTTTACCATGGAATTCATTTGAATGGTAAAACAATTGAGAAATTTAGACGAATATTATGGTGTTTGGAATCAGTGGAGTGTTTGCAGATACTTTATGTTTACACACGAGCACCTTTCGAGATAATTTAATTGATATTGTACCACGATTCTAATCGAGATTGATATTTTGCAATATTGACGGTGTCGTGCTCAGTCGGTTCGTACAGCTGATCTGCAAAGCTAGCTTGATGAAACTATAACAAAAGCGAAGAGGTCGGTAAGATAATAAATTGTATCGGTTACCTTAAACCAAGGTGATGATAAAGTTACTTGGGCGGTTGCCCTGTCTTCGCCACGTAAATGTAGCAACGTTTCAAGAAGATTTTTCACATCGTCCGATATCTCCTTGAAATATTCGTCAGGGAAACAAAAATCACACTTGAGTATATTTGCGGTAGTTTCTTCGATAGAATCGTCCAGGAAGGGCGAAAGCCCACTGTATGCAGGAAAAATTTCATAAATTCATTCATTGGTCAGGAAAGATTTGTTTCATAAAATATACATATATAGACACACATACGCATATGGGCGCGCGAGATTGTTACAAGTTACCTTAGTTACCTTAACAGTGCATAAAGAAAGACACCGGCAGCCCACATGTCCGTATAAGATCCTGTTGGTTTACCGAGAACTGATTCTGGGGCGGCAAATTCTAAATCAACGGGAGGAACGACTTCATCGAGCGGTACTGCTCTGACAGCTTCACCAAAATCGATCAGTTTTACCACACCACTTTCGTCATCGACCAGAACATTTTCCGGTTTTAGATCTAAATGAGCACGTTTACGCGAGTGAAGCCATTGTAACGCTGATAACAATTGACTGGTGTATCTTGCAACAGTTGCTTCCGTATATTCGATTTGTTCACCGAGATACGCGAACAACGTCGGACCTTTGACCCTGTATGCAAAAGTAAAAGCAGTTCGGTATGAAGAGCAACGAAGTAGTGCGCGTATCGATGATGACGATGGTTATCGGCAAGTGAGGAAAACAGGAAAATGAGAAAAAGAGAAGAAGAGGAAAGGAGGAAAGAGGGAAAAGAAAAAGATACTGACAGCTCCAAAACGATAGTATCGATATCCGGTTGAGGTGCATCCTCGAAGAGCGCAAACGCTCGAACGATATTGTCATGATGTATGCTTCTAAGAAGATCATACTCCGCTCGTGTTAGCAATAATGGTTGTTTTAAACGGGATATTTGCTTCAGCGCTACTTCTCGGTCAAATCCTTTCTCCATTGCACAGCATACTCTAGCGAATCTACCGACTCCTAATTCTTCCAATTCGATATATTTACTAATAAATTGTTCAGCTTCTATATCTTTCGTTGCTCTTTTCCTCAAATTCGGCAGCAAAACAATCGACGATGGTTCCTTTGTTGCAAATCCGTTCGATCGATTGCATTCGATCGCATCGCACCAAACGTTTGTTTTATCGATACCTATAGAGATGGGAAAAAAAGGAGAAAAAAAGTTTCTTCATTAATTTACGCGTACTTCATACTCGAATGCATGCACGATATTACATACTGTTATATACAATAGATACATATGCACGCACGCACGCAGATATAAATAAATGAATAAATAAATAAATAAATAAATCTATGTATAGCAACATACATACCTACGATACGAAGGGGAATTTTTGCTGAACAAGAACCCGTTTCATGTTCGACGCGACAGTGGTAAATCCCGGAATCAGAGGGAAGGCAAGGAGCAATTTCGAGACAAAGGGAATCGTTCGTTCGGAAAAGTCGATATCGATCGTTTCTCTCGATGTCACATCGTTGTCCCTCCTTTCTCCAACGGACGACTGCACGTTCCACGCGACGAGCTTCCAGTACGAGTCGAGCCACGCCACCGGCCGTCGCCCTGATCGAACACGGAATAGTCAAGATCGCGGGAGGACCGTTCTCTTCCGCGTGCATATCCTGCGGAAGACGGACGTTCTCTCCCTCGGAATCGATTCTTCGCGGACGAAAAGACCATGCACGGCTGATCGATGAATTTGGAACGAGACTCGCCGGAATCCAGAATTCCTCCTTTTTCCCAACTACTGGAGAGACGATTAGCCCTGGACCGTCCACACGGAATATCTCCAATTCTTCTCCAGCGTGTAATTTGCCCCAATCTGCGGTTAATCTTACTCTGCTTCCTGGAACGATCTACGGAATCTCCTAATTAACTTGACGAATCTTTTCCCTCCTCCTGATCATGCACCGGATCATCGTCTTTTCCACATCTTTCACACCCATTCCCCTTGAAATTATCATTCTTCCTTGATCTCCCTCATTCTAATCTTCGACGCACTTTGTTTATTCGATATCTTGTACACCGCTAAACAACAAGCATTCGATGACAATAACGAGCAGCAACAGCGACCCAATACTTAATAAACAGGTAGCGATTGTAATATTACAACGAAACCGCAAGAAACTACTGTTTAGCAGCAGAGTGTAAGAGCAACAGCGATAGATTCTATCACATCACCATGGTACAAAACTATCGTTGGAAAAAACTACTAATACTACAATAATATTATAAATAACGATAACAGATCAATGCCTCTTATATAGCAAGATAATAATAATAATGACGTCGACGACAACGAAATTATCCATGATAATTACCGCTACTGCTCCGACAATTGTAATCATAATGGTAGCGACGACGACACCTACGACTACGACGACCACTACCACGAGCACGAGCACGACCACGACCACGACCACGATCACGATCACGATCACGATCACGATCATAATAACAATAAACGCGAAAACAGCAGCAATCACATTTAATAATAAAGACGATATCGAGTTTGAAGGCATCAACCATGTTAAGAGCGACGATTAAGAAATAAGGTTGTATTGGTTTCGTGAATAAAAGTAACAAATTGTCAAAGTCTGTACAGTAAATGCACTAACATTATACGTTGGGAAGTGATACAACGTATCAACGAGAAACGGTGTATTTCATTCTTGGCGCTATTTTTTTCTTCACAATCAATGAAAACAGTGGGAAGACAAGTTATTACCGTACCAACGAAAAATTATACAATAGAGAGCGAATAGCAACAGGCATCAAGAGGAAGAGAAAGAAGAATCCTTTTGCTGCAATTGCAAGAGTTCTAATTACGAATAGGCAAATAGAGTTGTATATATAAGTATAAGAGTTAATGATAATTTCGGTGTTGTTGCTCACCGGGATAGAGTTGTTACGAACAGGCGAGCGAGGTCGAAGGGTGCTCCTGAATCCCTCGAGAAAATTTAATCTGCTTTTGCTAGGGCTTGAAGTTTGCCAAGTATCCTGATCCGAGCCTCCAGTGTAAGGTCGTTGCAAAGGTGTCGTAGCTGTCGCTCCTGTAGCTGTAGCTACTGCTTTCGAAGCCGTAGAAGACGTAGCAGCAGCAATTTCATTTCTCCCTTCTTCATTTGTTTTAGACATGTTCGGTATAGTTGATGAAATCGTGGAAGGTATACTCCCTCGACACGGAGAATCCGGACTCACGCCACGACTGTACGCCAGCAAATTATAAATGAAATTCAAACACGGTACGGCATCTATGAAAATACGCACTTCTATTGCGTTGAGTTATTATAACTCCAATGAGATATTATAACTCGAATCAACGCTCGGGTAGCTTACTCCCGTAATAAATATCACTATACGTAATCTAACTTTTGCTTTAATAATATAATCGCAATTATGTTGTACTTTGTTAGTTATTTCATTTTCGAAAACAACCGAGTCCCGTAAATTGCTTAAAATGTTTAATAAAATATAAAGCAATTTGAAATTTTAACCAAGCCAAATTGTCAATGCAGTACCCTGTCCTTATAGAAAATAATAAGAGAAAACAAGCTGTTAGTCAAATGACAAGTAAGTAGTGTTAAATAGACGTGGGAAAAGGATGCATCACAATTAGAATGTTGACCAATGTACAATTTATTCTAAACAAAATGTTTACGTTTCTCGAGTCATTAGTTTTATGTCGTCTTTCATAAATGCACATTTATTTACAGCATACTATCCCCCGCATTCGTTCAATCTTTCAATTATAAACATTATTAAAATTATTATACACTTGCAGCGTTATGTCGTTAATAGGTAATATAGTTTTTGGTGGGGGTGAGTCAGCATGTTGGACATGCTCGCTGTTATACGTTTCCATTTATCGTGCGTCATGTTTTCTGCTATTTTACATACGCGTGATTATTCGTCCATGTGCATACAGCTACGCGCATTTATTTTTCTTTCCAAATGAAAATCAATGAAACCCATAAACGTGCTCCCATGAATAGTAAAGCGAGGAAAAGTGTTTAAACGCTAAACAAAAAGACGGAACGGTATAATTATTTATAATAGTTGCGTTCGTTGTTTGATCAATTTTCCTTTTTAGTTCGAAACTTTTCCCGTTTAGTCAGATCGTATAATAAAATCTGTCTCGCCCCCACCCCTCCCTTCTTATCCTTCTTTCTCACCCTCTTTCTCTTTTTCTCACGCGAACACACACTTATACACTCATACACGCACGCGTATATACGCGAAATCATGCAATCACGCGAAAGATACATAACTCCCATAAATAGAACCATGCAACAAACACGCCTTTCCATTTTACTGTTATTTTTCTTTAAACAACAAGATACAAAGGAGTAGTGACGAGGATGTAACCGATGTGAGTGGGTACAAATCGATATACCTACCCCCAAATGCACGTATGTGCAAACAGCTAAGAAATAAGAAACAGTTTGGTCATATGTATTGTATCGTGTCGCATCGTACCGTACCGTACCGTACCGTATCGTATCGTATCGTATCGTATCGTATCGTATCGTACCGTACCGTACCGTACCGTACCGTACCGTATCGTACCGTATCGTACCGTATCGTACCGTACCGTATCGTACCATACCGTACCGTATCGTATCGTACCGTACCGTACCGTACCGTATCGTTTCGTACTATATAATATTGTATCATATCGTGTACTAATGTATTGTTATCATATTATATTGCATTGTATAGCATTATGTTCCAACGAACCATGACAGACACAGTTCTAGGAACATTAAAAACTACTCCAAAGGAGGTAGGTAATTATTATAGAATATAGTAGGAGACGTTCTCGCGATAAAGCTACTTAGCAGCAATAGCGAGGTAGATTCCTGGACTGTAATGTTAAGGCAAACAAGAGGAAGCACGTCGCAATATGGTGAAAGAG